GAAATCAAAGGGTCTTTGGCTCGGTAGGTGGCGATCTCGTACTGATTCACCCTGTGGTCTAACGTGGGTTAACACGAGCTTAAAAATTGTTGGTATTTACTTTGGTTCCGAAAATGCAAATATCCAGTCCTGGGCAGAGGTTACGGCCAAATTCAAGGGAATATTGAAGAAATGGGAACCACGGTATCTAACGTTACGGGGGAAAATGACGGTGATCGGGAGTCTGGTGGCTTCGACGCTTTGGCATGTGGTAAAGATATACCCGCTAACGCGTGAATGTATTGACTCGCTACAATCAGAAATTTGGAAATTCGTTTGGTCAAAGAAACCGGAGTGGGTGCGTCGGGAAACGTGTATGTCAGACTATCTGAATGGGGGTCTGCGAATTATTAATCTTGACATCAAAAGCAAAGCATTGTTGATTGGTCGTGTTTTCCGATTTTTTGAGGAGAGTGAGACACCTTGGAAAGATTTCATGCGTTATTATATCGGACGGTCTTTAGGCATAAACGATAACTCGAGACCAAATAGCGACATTCCAACTCCGTTTTATAGTCATCTTCTTCGTGTTCTGAGAGAATTTGCTGTTGATTTGGGACAACCTAGCACGAGTAAAATGTATTATTTAAAACGTATTGAAGATTGTGTTACCCCGGTACAAGCAAGAAGCGAGTTAGCTTGGAATCAAAGATTTGGTCCTGGTTTAATCTGGAAAGAGATTTGGACAGATGTCGCTCGAAGTTTCAATGATCCAGTGTTACGTGATTTTGATTGGCGCGCGTTACATCGGGTTTTGCCTGTCAATTTCAGAGTGCATAAATGGTATTCAAGAATATCCTCAGCATGTGCACGGTGTGGTGAAAGAATCGAAACATTGGAACACACGTTGATTCATTGTCCGATGGTAAAGGAGCTGTGGATGTTTATTCTGAAACTGTGCAATCAAATTGATGCATCGGTTATTGGTCTGTCAGAACGGAATATGTTGTTGGGTTGTTTCCCGCGAACAAGAACAAGAGACCTTTTGCGTTACTTAATTAGTGTTGGCAAATTTTCCGCGTGGAAAGAGCGCGTGTCATATCAGTTTAGGAAGGATGAGAAAATCAACAGTTTTGTATATTTTAGGAATTATGTGCGAACTCGATTAGAAACAGAAAAGGGCATCATGGGCACGAAAAACTTTGAGTCAAAATGGTGTTTAAACAATGTCTTAGCATGTGTCACAAACGGTATAATTCGAACTTTGATCTAACAGTCAATATTTGTGTGACTTAATGTAAATAATTTAATGTAATCTAATGCATGTGAATTGTGTGTCAAATAATTTTGATTCCCCGTAGTGATATACACTATGTGGGGTTTTTAATAAAAAAATACTCTTACCTAATGGTAGAGTTTTGACGGGCTCTGAGGTACACGGCTGTTGTCTCTTTCCCGACTGGAGACGGTACAGCGTTTATCGAGTTGGGAAAGAGACTAACCTCTCATTAGGTACTTACCCAGATAAGTACATCATGAATATAGTTTTAGTGAGGTATTTATCTAGATAAATACCTCATTAAACTATTCATGAGGTATATATCTAGTTAAATACCTCATGAATAGTTTAATGAGGTATTTATCTAGATAAATGCCTCATTAAACTATTCATGAGGTATTTAATACATAATTATTCAAGTGCAATATAGATATATTGCACTCAAACTGAGTGCAATATACATATATTGCACTGGAGCTCAGCGCAATATACAGATATTGCACTAGAATAGCTAATTAGTAATTCAATTCAATTCATCAGCCCCACTCTTCCCTAATATCAAATCCCTCCCCGGGCTTTTATATACTTGAAAGACATTATGGAAAATAAAGGTCTATGAATAACAAAGAAAACCGCGTCAATCATGTAATAATAACACTTACATAGTCTTAGAGTTTGATTCAGTATTATATTCCACAAAGTACTTCATTACAGTAAAGTAATTTCATTACAGCAAAGCTAATGTCACAATTAAAGCTATTTATCAAATTTATCATGCGGACTGCATTCTCTAAATGTTCTAAATGTCAAACATATACAGTATTCGTATTTGTAACATACACGCACAGACATGGGCGTACCGGAAGGAAAAAATTAGGGGGGCGGAAAGAAAATTACCCGACTTTTCGGGATTCTGCCCGACTAGTATCCCCCCCGTCGCCAAAAAAATTTCGGTCAGTGTACCATTTTAGGGGTCAAAAAAATTTTCCGGAGAACCAATATTTTTTGGAACATCACACAAATTTTCGAAAAATCACAAAATTTGCCAAAAAATTAACTTCATTTTAGACAAAATTGACAGAATTTGTCCCATTTTTTTTTATTGCAAACCAAAATTGCCCGACTGTTGATCGAATATTGCCCGACTGCCCAAA